AGTTCCAAGCGGCCGGCGGCGAATGGCGAGACATGATTGATTTCAGTTGAAGACGTTTGGTTGGCTTCTAAAGGCGTCACACGTCTTTGACGCTTCATGAGGCCGTAAGGCGAGTAAGCGGCCAGTTGGAAAATATATGCTGCGGCGAGGTTTGCTCATAGACCTATGCAATAAGACGTATCAACTGGCCATGCTAAGCAACCACTTAAATACATCAAAATCTCAGTTCCGGAAAAAAAGACGAATCAACTGATCACGCTAAGCAACTACCCTAGCTCAATTACAGAAGGTGGATGAACCCAACATAATATGCTAATATAACTAAACGAAAGAACCGTAAAAGGTTTAATTTCAAAGCTTAACAGATCACAACGTTACTGCAGAATGTAACGGCATTCGTGCAAACCTATATATACCCATCTGTAAATTGATTTATCGTAGGTATCTTAACTTTTTTTCCATCCTTATTCGGAAACCATCCTACAGTATAAAATAATGTTAACGTTAGAAAATAAAACCAAGCTAATATCAATTAATCAACCCAAACAATGAGTTCCAAACAAAACCCATTTCGGCATGTTAAATCCGCGCCCAATGGGTTCTGCGAAGGTTTCCTCCAATTAAGTAATTTCTGTTTTGGCACAAAAAAAGTCAAGTGGAAAGTCCGGCCTACCGTAAGGCCACACAAACAAACACTTGAACGAGTGAATTAATTAAAAACACAAAACGAGGAATGTGCCGCGAGAGCTGACAATTTATTTTTGTACAATTGTGTCTTTTGTTGGAATTTTATACAGCAGAATAAAACATGTAGGTTTCGAGTTAATCGGCTTTTCGAAGTAGACAGTATTTATTTGTTGCAGTAGCATCCAACAGTATTTAACCCACTTACTCCTACCAGGCGTTATAACACCGCTAAAAAGTAGTTCGGAATATCCTCAGATAAATTATAAAAATATCGAGAATTTGTTTACTGTTCCTTGTATTTTCTCTTCATTACGAATCAAGCCGTAATTGAGTATGTTCGATATCGCATATAATTGCTTTATTTTGTTAGTTTTTTATTATTTTGAATTCTGTTGTTTAGTTTTGTGCAAAAACGTCTAATAAAAGGTAAGATATTTCATAAACTTGCTAGTAATACCTCAGATTATACTAGTTATTATTTTATGTACTACTGTTAGCTATAAAACTATAAAAATATGTTTTTGAAAAGCTTTACATTTTTGAGACTTTTTATGACACAATTACAATCGGTGTTTTAACACCTGGTCGCATAATCGACGTCTAACCTGTATATTTTTGGCTTACCTGGAAGTCTTTAAATAGACTTCGGACGCAGGTTGGCCGTAGTAAGGACAATCTGGCCAGGTGGGGATTCTTGGATGGCTTGAACATGGAGTGCAGGTGCGGTTTTGTTCCCCAGTCGATGAGGCACCTGATGTCATGCCCTGAGTGCCCAAGCAACTGCACTCAGGAGGATTTGATGAGTGCTACTGACAACGCCACTCTTGTGGCGGAGTTTTGGGCTGACACTGTGTAGGTTTGTTGTCGACACGAAAAGAAGAAGACCTGTATATTTATTAAAAGTTTAGGCCACGATATAAAAGACCGCTGAGACTTCACGAATTGTAGACGTATTAGAAAACATTGACGACGATACTCAGATACCGAATTACATAGCAATTTTATCACCAGAAAATGCTAATACAGAACCAACGGATGAATATTCTGGTGAAGAAGACCACGTTACCTTACAAAATCTTCCAGGTTAGCCTGGTTCCGTTTATCTAATTATAACCTGGAAGATTTTGTAAGGTAACTTGGTCTTCCTCGTCAGAATATTCATCCGTTGCTTCTGCATTACTACTTATAGCGTGTAAGTTTTCTATTGCTATTTTTCGTGAACTCCAGGTTATCAACTTAGAGCCGAGGCAGAAATACAGTACGACAAGTCTTCTTCGGATAAAGATGATAACAGTCCGATCTCTGATTTTTTAAAGTAAGACGAAATGAATCTAATGATGGTCATCAATGCAGTTAGTTCTTCTGTCATGAAAGTACCTACCGCAATCACAATTACAACAATGCAATATAGTGCAAGTACCTACTGTGAAAGTTATGTGCCAAAGTCATACTCCGAAACAATATTTATGAAGAATGGCGCCACAACCAGGGTCCACGGAGCTTACATCCCTATGTACTACTTTACTTACGAGTACTACACGCAACTGACATGTAAAATTCGCAAGAATAAATCAATTTGGTGTAAAATATGCGCCACGTACTAAAGCATCCTAGGCTATGATTTATGTCTCTACCATCCTCCTACCTCCTCTGAATAAGATTTTGGTATTTTTTTAATAAATGAGTATAACTTACAACTCGTTTTTAACTCTTGAACCTAACAAAATCATAGTATATTTTTTTCTCGTATTAGTAGTCCATTCTCCGACCAGGTGTTAAAACACCACCCATTTTCCAGCTTTTCCAGTTGACCAAGAATTTTTCTAATATTTTTCTGTGGACACTTGACATCTATTTAGAAACATACTAAAAATTTATAAAAATTGACAAGTATAAAAAGTGTCAGGAGTATCTGGGTTAAGAAAAGAGAAATTGAAAACAATGATAATAATATTGTTAATTAAAAAGTTAAATATTAGATTAGGCCTATACTTAGTTACTTATTTTTTTCTATTATGATTTTAGTTAGGTGTATAATTATTATATCCCGGATCATGTCAGCTGTACGAGTATTAGCATAGTTCTTGTCAGAATAAAAGCATACTTTACTTATAGATTGTGAATCTTCATCTTATTTACACTTCTGGTCAAGTTCAGGCAGGCAAATATTTAGGATCAAAATATCATTCTAACAATCGTAAAACACAGACTTGACAGTTAGTTGGCAGTGGTTTTTCACGAAACAACGTTTTAGGTCCCTGTAGAACGAAAAAAAGCTTTCCGAGCTTTTTGAATCATCAGTAGATACCCTAACTCGCACAAATAAATATTTTATTTAAAGCGTAGATCCAGTGTATCAATTTTTAACAATATTTAAAAAATCGAATGCAATCCTGTCGTTTAGAAATTGGACGTTTTGAGCGTCGGGTGTACCGCGTTTTGGAAACATTTTACAAAATCAAAGGCAAAAGTATCACAAATTCCTAGAGAAAGTGGAAGTCCACTTACCTCTACCGGGTAGTGAGAATTTAAAAAAGCTTTGAGAGATATTTCTAAATCATCAGAATTCTATTGTTTAGAAACTGAATATTTCGAGCGTAGAACCGGTCCTATCAGGGCAATATTTAACAAAAAAATAATGCATAACATACACACAAAAAACAAAAGTCGATTGGAGTATTCCTTTTATGAGGTCGGTTAAAACTTTCCTCCACTGGGTATGAGAATTAAAAAAACCTTGCCGAGCTATTTTTGAATCATTAGAATGCTATCGTTTAGAAATTGAATGTTTCCAGCGTAGATCCTGTCCTATCAGGGCAATATTTAACAAAAAAAAACAGTCGATTGGAAAATCTCCTCCCTTTTATAAGGTTTTTTTTAAAGTATAATAAATTCCGCTACTGGGTATAGAAATTTAAAAAAGCTTCGAGAGCTATTTTTGAATCATCAGAATCCTATCGTTTAGAAATTGAACGTTTCGAGCGTAGATCGGGTGTACCTGGCTTTGGACATTTTGAATTTTACAAAAGTAAAAGTACAAATTCCTAAAGAAGGCANATAGCGCGAGCACTCTAGGGTTAAGGAAAGAGAAATTGAAAACAATGAGAATAATATTGTTAATTAAAAAGTTAAATATTAGATTAAGCCTATACTTAGTAACTTATTTTTTCCTATTATGATTTTAGTTAGATTTATTATTATTATATCCCGGATCGTGTCAGCTGTACGAGTAATACTCGTACAGCTATAGTTCTTGTCAGAATAAAAGCATACTTTACTTATAGATTGTGAATCTTCATCTTATTTACACTTCTGGTCAAGCTCAGGCAGGCAAATATTTAGGATCAAAATATCATTCTAACAATCGTAAAACACAGACTTGACAGTCAGTTGGCAGTAGTTTTTCACGAAACAACGTTTTAGGTCCCTGTAAAACGAAAAAAAGCTTTCCGAGCTTTTTGAATCATCAGTAGGTACCCTAACTCGCACAAATAAAAAACTGAATATTTTATTTAAAGCGTAGATCCAGTGTATCAATTTTTAACAATATTTAAAAAATCTAATGCAATCCTGTCGTTTAGAAATTGGACGTTTTGAGCGTCGGGTGTACCGCGTTTTGCAAATATTCTACAAAAATCAAAGACAAACGTATCACAAATTCCTAGAGAAGGTGGAAGTCCACTTACCTCTACTGGGTATTGAGAATTTAAAAAAGCTTTGAGAGATATTTCTGAATAATCAGAATTCTTTCGTTTAGAAACTGAATATTTCGAGCGTAGATTCAGTCCTATCGGGGCAACATTTTACAAAAAATACACATACAAAAAATACATATAAAAAGGACATAACATACACACAAAAAAAACAGTCGATTGAAGAGTCTCCTTTTTTGAGGTCGGTTAAAAAGTATCACAAATTCCTAGAGAACATATATAGCCACTTACCTCCACTGGGTATGAGAATTAAAAAAAGCTTTCCGAGCTATTTTTGAATCGTCAGAATCCTATCGTTTAGAAATTGAATGTTTCGAGCGTAGATCCTGTCCTTCCTATCAGGGCAATATTTAACTAAAAAAACAGTCGATTGGAGAATCTCCTACCTTTTATGAGGTTTTTTTTAAGTATAACAAATTCCGCTACTGGGTATAGGAATTTAAAAAAGCTTTGAGAGCTATTTTAGAATCATCAGAATCCTATGGTTTAGAAATTGAATGTTTCGAGCGTAGATCCTGTCCTATCAGGTTTTGGCAACATTTCACAATAATAAAGGGCAAAAGTATCACAAATTCCTAGAGAAGGCAGATGTCCACTTACCTCCACTGGGTATGGATGCGGTGGTGGCCACGTAGAAGCAGTGCAGCAGCAGCGACAGCAGCATCTTCGACGTCATCGCGGTTACTCGCGCGGTCTCCGGCGGCCCATCGTACGTGACGTCACTTCACATTGCGTTCGCTGGAACAATACAAACATGTTTTACAGCTAGTTTGCTTATTAAAATGACTACCTATACAAATACAGCGAAAACGTCAAGTTGTAAGTCAAAGTCAGTTTTTATTCAGTACGTAGGCCCTTTCCAAGGTGCTTATTACACGTCTCAAATACAACTTGCCCTACCACGACTTAGGGACCACATAATGCGCTGATGCTGAGAAGAAGTGGCGGAACTCTGTCACCTTTAAAATTAACTAGGAAATAATAAACATTGTGTTTGAGATTCCTTAATCTTGTTTAAAATGCTTACAATATAACAATGTATCCTTGAATCTATACAATTACAGGTGACATGTGTGATTTGGGTCCTATCTCTCAACTAAACGTCTTGTTGTGAATGTGGAGCGAGAACATTTCTTGCTAACTTAAAATAACAGTCTGTTATCTATCTAAAGCTATTCTCACAATTTTCTTCCTGCTCTAAACAGAAATGTTTCAGGAAATGATTACTGAAAAGGTAAGCAGTATTATTAACCCTTCCACAGCTTCGGGACAACAATATAGGACGTACCTACGTTTCGTTGCTGAAAAGAATCTGTCAGAAAATCAGACAATTAACCGAAATTAAATGCTTAAACAATACTTCAGCCTAGAATATTATTGTATTGAACATTATTTAAATATGTGTGTAATATTTCCATGATTATAACAATGTAATGGTTTTCAGAAAACTGCGGAAGCACTAATTTTCTTATCGAATAATTACCGAGAACAAACACGATGCCTGTTATCATGGGTAATACTAACACGCCCGCAAGATAATCGTCGTGAACTTGATAGGCATAGGCTGTACATAGGTATTATATTATGGCATATAATATGGCAGTCGCCATATTATATCGGCGATGCGGAGATTCAAGTTATAGAAACGTATGAAACTAAATAATCAACATCTTGTATCTGTTCAGTTCAGTATCTGTTCAACTAAAATAGTAAGACACGGGTCGTAACGCGACGTCCATGAATGAGTTACATTATGTACTCACGGCTTGACGTTTCAGCTGCTATGCTGCAGCCGTGGTCACAAACAGTCTGCTTGTAAAAACAGAGAAAATGTCTTAAGAAAGTTGCTATAAAACACACATTAGATAATATTACTTTTCAGTGCTTACCCAATTAAGAGTTATCCACACTAATATACTAATGCGTACACTAATGAACCTTGTTTACCTTCTGTTTAATGTTGTTGCGAATAACGACTTTGGTTACGAGATATAAANATCCAATTAGGACCGTAATAACTCAAAGCTTAAAAATTATTTCATAAAGATATCTTTTTAGAAAATGAAAAATAATATTACAACAATATTATCTTTTTAACTAAACAGAACTGACGGTCGAAGGGGCAGCAACGTTCTGGAGTCAGGCCACGTAGGTACAGGAAAATGTAGGGTGAAAGATTCACCCACAAGGTGGACCGACGACCTCAGAAAGGTAGCAGGAAGGTGCTGGATGCAGGCCGCTACCAACCGGGTAATATGGAAATCATTGGGGGAGGCCTATGTTTACTAGTGGACGTCCTGTGGCTGAATTGATGATGATGATGATCATATTAACTAAGTGTCTACAACCAGCAGGTTGTCAAGTCTACCAAGGTACGATGCTACACTTGAAAGGTTTTTTCTTACATGATTTAAAAACATTAATGGCTTGAATTTGAGTTTTCTACGACATTTTATTCATATTATTAACGATAGTAATATTTTTTCTGCACATTTCATAGTCGCTTAAGCAAGCATACGCGCTATTTCACGCTTCACTAAACCGAACCCGAGTGCTCATTCCAGCTTGTTCACTCGTAGCGTCGTAGGCGGCTACAAATACACGACCCTAATGGAGTTTACAACTACAGTGCTACGAGAAGAACTACAGCTACAGTGCTACGAAATGCAATACACTTAACATCAGGTGCGATTGTGGTCAAATACCTGCCTTGTTATGCATAAAAAAAAATACAGCAACAGTGCTACGAGATGCACTCATCGCGCACATCGTGCGTATACAAGCTTTTAAGCAGGAACTTTTACTCAGTTTTTTTTTTAATTACTAACAGTTCCGTTAACCCCTCATGGTATGCTGTAGTAGGCGTGTGTTGCAAGTGGGTTTACTGCAATATTCCAGCGGACAAATTCAAATTCAAATTATTTATTGCATGTCACATGGGTAAGGGTTGACAAGAACATAATATTGTAGGTACATGTGACGCCCTGTGAAGGCGTTGCAAAAACTTAAAAATAACATTAAAATAGATAATTATTTGTCAAACTAAAATTAAATTGATTAAACATTAAAATTATAAAATTATATATTATAAAAGTATACAATTCAGGAATTATTATTATTATTGTATAAACAAAGAATTATTACATAATACACTTGTCATCAAATAAATCGCACCTCCCGCGACAAGCACTTATCAAACGTATGCATCCCCACTTCCCACCAACATTGGTACCATTTGAAAGCCTAGTTCTAAACTTAATTTCATTAAAGGAAAGGTTTTTACCCCAAAAATGTGTCTGTAGAAGAATCCAGAGTCACTTCTTCAAAAAATAGGTAGTTACGCTATAGCCATTTTTTATGACTATAAAACTGTTAAGTTGGGATTTATCGCTATCCATCTGTTAAAGAGGACACGTGAGATCTTTATTTGGTTTTATAACCATAAAAATTGGTCTAATTGATCCCAGAGGTGAGCCCAAAGTGAGGTCTATTTTCAAGTAACATTTATGGTATATGATAAATCATTTATTTAGAAATAAAATGTATTTTTCTTTAAGGATATTTATTGGGCTTTCAAATAACACCAATTTTGTTGGGGTACCATGATTGTGTCAGAAGAAAATCTTTAAAGTTCGCGTCGCGGAAGGTGCGGTTTATTTGATGTTGAGTGTATTTTCATTAAGACAACGGGGTTTGAACCCACGTTCCTCAGATTTCGATTCGGCCAGTCTGACACCGACACTGTTTAGTTATTGTCGCTAAAAAGTTTTCTTAATTATAGCTACCCAATGAGATAAAGTGATGTAGAGATAAAGTAAAGATTTACGAAAGCAAATCTTATAAGAGCTAGAGCTTTTCCAAGATAGAAAAGTCAATGAAGACATGTTTGATGCCCCATTTATAGCCTTATCTTCCCCGAACGCTGCCAAATAGGGAATCACACGAGCCCTAATCCATAGACGATCAAACAAGCCGGCCATAATCTGATTGATAGCGTCGCTAATTGACGACTGATTACAACGCTCCCATGATTACGTTAATAATCATGATTCATTTTGGAGGACAAGAATCACGGATTTGACAACCTTGTTATGTATTCGTACTGGCGTTATATCTAATCTAAATCTATGTAAAACTCAAAGGTGACTGACTGACTGACATAGTGATCTATCAACGCACAGCCCAAACCACTGGACGGATCGGGCTGAAATTTGGCATGCAGGTAGATGTTATGACGTAAGCATCCATTAAAACATCGGTAAAACGGGATCCACGCGTACGAAGTCGCAGGCGGCCGCTAGTTTTTCAATAAATTCCTAATTCGAGTTACATTTCCTATACCAAAATCGCTTACAACAATATCAGTCATTCTAGTTAATGTGACTGCATTAGCGACATTTCCATAACACCGTTTACTGCCGCCGCGGCGTTTACGAGCACATCAATCGGGGCACTAATTTACTTTATTTACGATACCCACTGTCACGAGTGACATCTATTTGTTGGCCAAAGGGGCGTGCACATCAGCCGGATTTGATCTAGCAATCGTGGACTGATTACTATTTTCAGCCTCCAAAACAGAGTAACATTTTGATCGCTTCACGGTGCCAAGAACTGGGTTCGACACCCAAAAAAAAAAAGCATTTCCAAAACGGTTTACCGATTAAAATACTGCTGCTTTTATTCGATCAAAGGTTAGTAAAATTTTAAAAAAATCCATCAAATTCATGTGGATGGTTTGAAATAAGATAAAATAAAGGTCCCATTAAAAAAATTGATAATTAACAATTTTTATGACTTTCTAACTCGAAAACGCTTGCATATCTCGCATGCACTCGCTTGATCTAGATACTTTTCTCAACTAAGCCCTTTTCCAGTAAAGTTGAGCAGCTACGGTAGGAAAATGAAGTAAGTAATTCTGTCTGGATTTTACACTCGCTTACCGATAGCTAAAATTAAAGCTAATTTAGCACTTAAATAGTTACAAGAAGGTACTCATAGCTTTTAGTATCTCAAAGCACTGAGTTTGAAATTAGTTGATCGTTTCCTGATTCGTAACGACAAATGGTTCACATGTATTGTTATAAACTTTCATGGTCACTAACATAATTATTATTGACGGGATTGCTAACAATGTACCTTAATTTCGAATTCACGATATTTTGGTTCACATGTAGACGCTGCCTTACGTCAGAAGTGTCGTAAATTCCAAAGTTGTCGGGCCTGCTGAGCCTGTTATGTTTTTGTAAATACGATACTTTGTCAAGTATTTATGTCTTAGTATTAGCAATTCGATCAACGATCCGATTGCAGTAGTTAGTTAAGTATACATCCTGGTAATGGTGATACATTTTTAGTTAACTTGAATTTTATTGTGCTTGCTCGTTCGTTCGTTCGTTTCAGCCGAAAGATGTCCTGCACAAAGGCCTCCCCCAAGGTTTTCCACAAAGACCGGTCCTGAGCCGCTTGCTGCTTGCTTGCTTGCTCACATGGAACTAACATAACTATTATTAATACCTAAACAATGCACAGTGACAATATTTAAACCTCAATACTCAATAAGTTTATTGCTATTGACAACAGATTTACTTACGAGTTAGTAGCAGGAACGCGCTGGATGCAGACCGCCACCAACCGGCCATTGCGGAAATCATTGGAGACTTATGTTCAGCAGTGGACGTCCTATGGCTGAGATGATGATGATGATGATAATAACAGATTACATTAAATTTATAATT